TCCCATTCTGGGGATACGTGGTTGGCTAATCCATTGTGAAGCAGACCTCAGAGCCCCTGGAAGCCCTCCACTTCAGCCAAGGAGGCAAAGACAGTTTGGGGGTTTGGCTTCGGGTGATCACATTGGCTCTCTCTGAGGGTGTCCTGGGCTCTCTGGTCAGCCCACCAAGTCCATGTCCTCTCAGTCTGCACTCCCACCCCCCTTGGACCCTTTGACTTTGCAGGCCCAGACTGTTCCGGGCTCTGTGGCCCCTCCTTCTGTGCAGGGTGTGGGGGCTAGCTTCAGCCAGACTCTTGGCAGCCTCAGGATGGCGGGGCTGGGGGCTTGAGATGGGCACAGTCAGCAGGGTGCGTGGCCAGCATTTTGGATGTCTTCCTACACCCAAGCCCAGGTGCTGCCAGCAAGCTGCCCTGGTGACCCTCCTGTGGGGGGTGAGGCCTCTAGACCTGGCAGTGCCCAGGCAGGGGAGTGGGTGGGCTTGGGGTGGGGATGAGGACATAAGTGTCCTGTGGCAGGAGTGCTCCCAGGGCCCCAGCCTGTTGAGACTCTGCCCTGGGACGGAGCCCTCCTGATCCCTTCCTGGTTGCCCAGCATTGAGTCCCCTTGGCCTAAGTCCGCTGAGCAGCTGGACTCTGGGGTGGCCTTGGCTCAGTGTCAGGATGGGACCAGAGGAGAGGCGGGGTGTCATTAACTTGCCCCCCTCCCCATAGTCACTGGACAGTGCCTTGGGGGTGTCAGTGGTCCTGGAGGGTGGGACAGGTTAGCCTGGGACACCGATGGCAACCAGGCCAAGCTAGAGGGGCCTGCCTGGCTGAGGCACTGCCTCAGGTCACAGGGAGCTTGGCCGTATCCAGGGAGGGCACTGGGGCCAATCCAGGCACGGAAGCCCCTAGCTGGGTGCCCATGGGAGCAAGACACAGCTTCCCTGGAGGTGTCAGTGGTCTGGGGTCTCCTGTCCCCCTCTCAGTCATCCTCTGCCCTCCCCTGCACCCCTGCCTCTCTCTAGGGGCTAAGTGTGGCTCTAGCGGCAGCCTGAGGGCTCCCCTCCAAGGCTGCGGCCAGGGCAGGCCCAGGAGGAAGTGC